TTTTCTGCTTACTATAGTTGTTGAAATGTGAATTACGGGTAAGGGAAACAAGGGGTAATCATATGGTTCTGATTATGTAATCAGTTATGTATTTAAGGAACCTTCGGCTATAATCTTTCTTTTGCTATTGCTCGCCTTGGAATCCTTGGAATGAAGGCTGGCTCTATCGCCACACCTCTCCCTCAGTAACTTTAAACTTGGTTAGCAAGCTATTGGTTAGTATTGTTAGGCTTTGCATCTGCCACTAGAGAATAAGGATTTTATATTTGCAATTAGGCTCTTGCCGCTATAAGCAGCACGCATTTGGTATATAGGCTCCGTGAAAGGATCTTGTGCTTGATATTTAAGTTCCGCAACTGCTATAGGCAGTGAAGGACCTTGTTTTTGGCGTTTGGAACGCATGAACCTCCCATTTTTGTGACTAGACTCTGCGGCTGCTGTAGACAGTTCAAGAGCCTATGTCTTAGTAACATTCATGTTATCAATATCTATGTCACCAATTCTCTTTATAGCTATATGATTCCTTCTTGGCTTCATTCCTGATATGATATGTTTATATGTGATCATAGATTTGCAATAGGTTATAAGATTGTTTGGGAAGAAATATTCTCTTAGAGAATAGTCAGTTAAGCATATTTGATATAGAACCTGTAAAACCTGTTAATGATAGCGAACGAATTTCTCATATATTCTTCCTCGTCTAAATGAAGTCATCTGATCGAGCAATAATATTTCGTAGATCACACATCACAGAGGATCTGGAAATCTGGAAATCGGCAATTTGACATTCATATCCCAAACTTTTTTAAATTTTATCTCGACAACCCCCAGGCAAAATTTAACAAACCTTTTTTTTATTTAATTCTACTGATTTATGGAATTCAAATAAAAAAAAAGTTCATTAAATTTGGCCAGGTTGTTGTCAAGAAACCTTACCTCAAAGTTAAAAAAATTCAATGGAATTTTTCTCAAACTTAGAGCGAATATATTTTGACAACCATCAACTCAATTTTAATAAAGTTTCTTTTTTATTTGAATTCTATATCCGTAGAACTTAAATAAAAAATTCATCAAAATTTGATTGATAGTTGTCACGTGTGTGACGGTTGATCGATGTAATTAAAATATGAGTAATCGAAAATGTCGCAATAAATATGTAATGCGATATATATAAATTATGCGAATGAACAATGAGAGTAATTATTTAGTAATAGTGTCGTAATAATTGTCAAATGCAAATTTATAAAAGTAATAAGCTGTAAGCAAGAGAAAAGTACGTCTCCTGCATAAGCATTCTTTAATAAAGTAATTACCCATTGATATACATATAAACTTGTCGTTTAATACAATAGTAAATAAATAAACAAACAATAAAAGCGAGTGTTCGAATCGTGTAATAACGACTCTGGGCCAGATATTCGGTACGGTTTACCCTATATCGTTTAACCCCGTGACAATAGTTGTCAAGATATATTCATTCAATGTTTGAGAAAAATTTCTATTTGATAGACTTGAGTTTTTTAAAACAGCCATATTTTGATGATATTTGAATACTAGAGAGACATAGAATTCAATTTAAAAAAATATTAAATTTGATTTAGTATTTTATGAATATCATTATGAGAAATATGACGCAGCTTCTGTTTTGATGGACGGTTTGAATTTTTTTAACGAAGATATCATGACAAATACCAAGTCAAATTCAGTCACTTTTTTTTATTTGAATTAAACAGATTTGTAAAATTGAAATAAAAAATTCATCGAATCTGACTTAGTGGTTGTCGAGATATCTTCGCTCAAAGTTTGGGAAATTTTTATTTGACAGATGTTGAATTTTTTAAAAACTTTGAGCGAAGATATCTCGACAACCACCAAGCCAAATTTGTTGTTTTTTATTTTTTGGTTTGTTTTATTTTTGAATTTTACATGTTCGTAGAATTCAAATAAAAAACTGGTTACTGAATTTAGTGTAATATTTGATGAAATATCTTTATTCAAAGTTGAGAAAATTTATCGCTTTTGATAGACGTTGAATTTTTTAAAACTTAGAAGATATCCTGACAACTATCAAGCCAGATTTGATAAATCTTCTTTTATTTGAATCCTACAGATTCATAGAATTCAAAAAAAAAAAAAAACTCCATTGAATTTGACTTGGTGGTTGTCGAGATATCTCGTTTAAAGTTTGAGAAAAAATCCGACGCAACTTTTATTTTAGAATTTTTAAAACTTTGAAAGAATAATCTCAACAGCAATCAAACCAAATTTAATAAAATTTTCTTTATTTGAATTCTACAGGTTTGTAGAATTTAAATAAGAAAAGTTCATCGATTTGGTGGTTGTCAAGATATATTCGTTCAAACTTTTAAAAAAATTAAAAAATGACACAAGAAAAGGCTTGAAATTTTCCATATTATTTAGCTACACAGACAACTGGCTCTTGTATATTACTTGATAAAGCATTGAAAAAGCGAAAATAGAAGAGGAATTGAGAAACTTTTTTTGTTAGCAAGAAATTTTCCATGCGATCGTCAATAATTTGATGTTCACAGTAAATTGAAAAGAGTGATAAAAATTTTTTTTATAAACTTTATTAAAAAATTTGAAAAAAAACATATATTCAACTTCGTAATAATAAGCCTTTTCAAATTACAATAGCTTTTTCATCATGATTTAAGGCATAGTCGAACGGTGATTGAAATCAGTGGCTTAACTTGTCACAGATTACGGACGTGCTCTAATCTAAATCGATGACAATTTTACATGTCAGTTCAGTGTCAAATTCGGGTCACGGTTTAAATCGTATTATCAACTAGAAAATGGAATGTTATATTCCAAAACAAATTACATGAATAAACGAACAATTTTAATACGTAGTTAATTCACATGGAGGACAGACTCCACTACATTACAATAATATTAATTATAATACAAGTTTATTTTATTATAATTGAATGTAGAATTAAAGTATATTAATGACAAATTTAAACGGAATTTTGTAATGAAATTTCTTATTAGAACGTAGAGAATATTGAATGATAAGTTATTGGAAAAAAGCGACTGGTTTTTCTTCAAATAGTTCTTATGAATAAATTTTTAAATTAATAAAGTTCAAAAATAATATAAAACATAATATAATATTTAAAATAAATATAAAAAAAATATATTAAATTTAAAATATATCTTAAGAGTTAATGCTTTAAAATATCAAATGTTGTAAATTCTAATAAATGATAATAAACGATCTTACGAAATTGCAGAATTATAATAATAAAAGTGAATATAATATGTATATAACTAAATACCATTAGGAACTTGTTTACCCAAAACATGAAATATTTCATATTCTTCTACTGAAAAAGATGAATAATCACCCTCGTCATAAGAATAAATATTTCTAATGGGCATTTCATATGAATGATGGTTACAATAACATTTATTATCTTGATTGAAATTATTTTTCATACCAAGATCACGACCACCACCAAAACCTGGTCCATAATTATATTGACAATAAATTGCTTTCTCTGGATTTACTACATGACTTATAACAGAATGTTGAATATTACCATTTTTCAATGAAAAAATAAAGCTCTCATTACAATGTTTAAATCTATACGAATTAATATTTGGTCTATCCCAAGTAGTAGGATTATATCCACCAAGAATTTCATCTGTACCTTTAACTTTCATGACCATTAAAGTATTTGCTTGCCCATCACATACTTTCCAAAATGATTCTGCCGAAAAACTATCTCTACTTCCACGAAGAAGTAACCTAAATTCATACGGATTATCTTTCTCAGAATAATTAAGAATATTTTTATCAATCCATGATGCAATTTCTGCTGCATGAGCTTCATCAATAATTGCTGAAAATGGTTCTTTAATTGTTGATACAATTTTGCGAGGCGGAAGAACTGTTGTTGTTAATGGTCTTTCTGGAACTATAAATTTCTTTGTTATATCATGCCAAAGTGTTTCATCAAGAATTTGTTTATATGGTTGTACATTGTCAAAAATATCTTCACCAGATATTTGAAAATAACGAATATGAGGTAAACAATTTTTTAATATATTTTTTAAGGTTAAAAAATTTTCATATGACCAATATTTAAGATCAAATGGTAATTCAGGATTTTGTGCAATTCCCCATCTAATAATACAATTCCAAATTCTCCCTTCTTCCATTTGTAAGTCATCACGTTTAATAAGAGATACTAATGCGTTTTCATGAAGTGTTGTAAAATCTTCTGATTCAAAAACTTTATTTGGACTTTTTGCTAGAACATCGGTACACCAAGTTTGTAATTCTTGAAGTTTATTACCATAAAAACTCTTTTGATAAACAAGAGCAAAGTGCAAGCGAAGCCAATCATCTTTTTCTTTAATCAAATAGTTTTCAAGGAGTTTGGCTAATTCTTCTAGAAGGAATTCATGGGCAAGGAGCATGAGATCAAAGATAAATTGTTCATCATAGTCCTCTAGTAAAACTATTCCTCCGTAAATATATCTTATTAAATTATTTATTTAAAAGTTAGTTTCTTTCAAATATGTACTAATCATCTTATTGCAAGGCTAATAAAACTTTAACATAACTTACCTAATAAAAATTTCAAACTGTTGAATAGAAGCATTTTTTAAATTAATGACTTTAATATTATTTTTATCTTTATAAGTTTTTGCCAATTTATTACGAAAATATAAAGACCTCTGTCTTAAAATAGCTGAATGTGCATAAAATGTCTTGGTTTTTAGAAATTCACTAAGATTAATAATCACGTTATAATCTTCTTTGTCATCAAGAAGTTCAAGGCAGTCGTTTGAAAGTTTTTCAAATAATCGCATTGCCATTTTAAAGTTTAACAAATAAGTGTAAAAATTACAATGCTTTCTTCGGTGAAGAATACAGTAATTCGATGTTTTATTAGAATTCAACAAAATCGCTTAATTTAAATACTGTATTGGTCTATCATCATGTGAAAATAATATATAAATGGATGTATTTTGATTTACAAAGATTTAAGGTACGTACGTACACGTATGTAGCTGAATTGTAAATCTCTATATCAATATTAATTCGAATTAGATCGACTTTTCACTATTACCATGTGTCGAAAGCGATCGTTATTGTCATTATTCAAGCGGATGTTTATCAAAATGTGAAAATCATTGCATTCGTCAATAGCGGTACGTACTACAAAGAATTTCCACGTGAAAATTGCCATTTTATGGTATGTAACATTTACACATTATTAATTTTCACTCACATTTCCTATTGCTATTAGTTGAAAATAATTTGTGAATATTTTACATATGTACGTATACGTCATCGCTTTTTTAAAAAAAATGTAACATTCCACTAAGATTAGCGTCAGATCTATTAGACGAAATTATATCAAAAATTTGGATTTCTTAGGTGAAATTTCGAGATTAAAGTGATTCTTGAAAAAGTTAACATTTTTGATACGTATCATTTCACCGACAATCACTTCACTGACAGCTTAGTTCACCGATAATTAGTTCATAGGCAAGGTTATTTACTGACAACTAATTCACCGACAGCTAGTGATGGCAAATCGCGGATTCCCGAAAATTCCGCGCATGATTCGAAGAATAGATAATCAATCAACTGGGTTCCAAAATTCTCTTATTTTCGGGATAGTGCGAAATGATGATCGAGTATTCGGGCCTACTAGTAGCATTCGTATTACACTAAGTATCCTGCGCGGGATTCCGCGCGGATCTCGCGCGTTGCCTATCACTACCGACAGCTCACTTCACAGATAAAGTTTTTTGTAAATAACACTAACCTTAATTCTAATTTTAACCTTACACTAACCTTAATTCTAATTTTTACCCTAACACCAATGAAATAAGCTTTCGGTGAATTAATTGTCGGTAAAATAATCTTGTCTGTGAATTGATTGTCGGTTAACTGAGGTGTCGGTGAAATGCGCACCACCGATTGTTTGTTTTGATAATTTTACATTACAAATGATATTGTCCCATGGTCGATGCTGATTGGCCAGAATCAAATAGTATGAGTGAAAATTAGTTACGAATATGTTTCAAATTCAACATTAATAAAATAATCATTATTTAAATTATGCGTAAAAATCTTGTGTCTTGTACCGTGGTACTAAGTATAAGATATAACATTTTTTTATTGTTTATAGTAATCTACAAGTTGTATGGCACTAAAACATTAAACCACTAAATCATTAGGACACTGAAACACTAGAATACTAAACACTAGAACACTAGAACTAGGTTGTTAAAACTTACCTAACAATTTACTGTAATTTACATAGTAAGTTACATGCAAGTTACAGTAAATTACATGTAAATTGCTGTAAATTACGTAAGCTAAGTTAAATGTAAGTTACATGTAGTTGGGTCTTTAATGTGGTGGGTTTACGTAATAATCAATCGATCAAATTAATAAAATTTGATAAGCCTGGACCAGCAAAAAAAAAAGATAAGAATGCGAAAAATACCTTGATGCTTAACAAAAAATGTGTGTAGATAATTTTACCTGTAGAAACGCCACTAAATTTAACCTAAGGTTACCCTGACCTAGAGAAAATGGCACGGCAAAAAATTTGCGGCATACCATTTGCTAAATTATAACACGTGATAAATATACACAATTTAGATTGGTCAGTTAACACGTACTATGTAGACCTTTTTTCGGAATATTCCGTAATATTGCTCTTGACGGAATATTCCGGAATATTCCGTAATATTGCTCTTGACGGAATACTTCGGAATTACATATAAGTGGCATGCCCTATGACTATTTGAGCATTGGGTGTGACTTCCATGTCACTCACCCTACCCTGACCCTGAAAAAACATTATATGCCGCTTTAAGGCGTGTACTTATTTGTGCGAGTGAAATTAGCCAATCGGAGAACGAAAAATGTGATGATCCCGGATCAGCCCGACACGTGAGCAAAGCGAAGAAAAAATAAAAAAAAACCGAAAAAGAGAAAATACTCAAACTGGCGTTTAAATCGACCTTGTTGCACTAATAAAAAATAACGGGAATGAAATTTTACATATAAAAAACTCAAATTATCAACAAAGCTCACAACCCTAACGCTAACACTAACACTAACCCTAACGTCCTAATCCTAAACTTTCTTATTATTTACCGTAAAACGCTCTTTATCTCTTAAACCGTTTCTCCTGCAAATCTGCCCTGAAATTTTTTTTAAAATAAAATTTTTAAAATAAAATTTTAA